CTGAAGTGACTGAAGTGGCTGAAGTGACTGAAGTGACTGAAGTGACTGAAGTGAGTGAATTGACTGAAGTGACTGAAGTGACTGAAGTGGCTGAGGTGTGACTGAAGTGACTGAAGTGACTGAAGTTACTGAAGTTACTGAAGTTACTGAAGTTACTGAAGCGACTGAAGTGGCTGAAGTGACTGAAGTGACACTCTGTGAGTGGACCTGAGGTTGCTGGTGTTGTTGCTGGCGCGCTGCGAGCGGCTGTAGGCCGCGCTCCGGTTGGGGTCCGCGTGGAACCTGCCCATCCGCGGGGGGCGGCGCATGGACCACCTGGACGAGAAGATGGACGGCAGCATGGCCGGCGCGACGGCCTCGGCGCGGACCTCGCGGCGGCGCCCGGGGGGGAGGGCAAGCTCACGACCGCGCGAGCGTCCGCATTTAGCGCGTCAGGCTCTCGGCACGGGGACCGCCAGGGCGGCGTCCACGACGAGGGGGGACTTCGGGGAGGTGCAAGTGGAGATTGCGCCGAGCAGCGCGGCGACGTTTGGGAGGGGAGCCGCGAGTATCCTCCCGGAGCTGTTGCCGCGGCGGAGGAGTGGGGGGTTGCCGGAGTGGGGTGCACTTGCACTGGCCTGCTGCCCGTGACAGTCACGCACGTCGCGTCACGCTCGTCACGCGCGTCACGCGCGCGCGGTGCTCGCGGGGCCGAGCACGCACGCACGGCAAGCTACCGGGGGCCGGGGCCAGGGGGCGGCGGCGGCGGGCTCGACGGGACGGGGCGCACTGGGGCGGCCCCAACTGTCGCGCCCCTGAGAGCGCCGCGCGCGCCCGCCGACGGGAAGGGGCGGACCCCGGGGGGGAGGCCAGGGGGGCGCTCGGCGGGGACCTGGCCCCAGCCCGCCGCGGCCGGGACCGCAACGCGGGGACCACCACACCGCTGGCACCGCGGCGGCGTGGCCGAGCGTGGCGGCGGGGGGCATCGGGAGTGAAGTACCTCGGGACAAAACAAGGGGCTGAGCTGCGTACGGGCGGGCAGGCGGGCGGGAGGACAGACAGGCACACAGACAGACAGACAGACAGACAGATGGACTGGGCTCTGGCTATGGGAGTTGCAGCAGGCGTGGCAGCAGCCCCAGAACATCGCCGCACGGCAGCATCTAAAAATACGGTCCACCGTCGGTGCGGCGCGCGACCAGGGGGGGATGGGGTGGGGAGGGGGCGGTTAAACGGGGAAGGGGGCAGTGTGAAGGGCGTAAGAGAGGGAGAGAGAGAGGGAGGAAGAGGAGAGGGGAAGAGGGAGGGAGAGAGGCGGAGAAGGAGGAAGGGATGGTGGTGAGGGTGAGAGAGCGAGAGCGAGCAAGCAAGAGGGAGGGAGAAAGAGAGGTGCGGGTCTGACCGGCTCTCGCGCCAGCGGCGCCCGCCCTCACCCGCCTGCTCCGCCAGGGTCCCGCCTACCCCGCCGCCCCGCACGCAGCATAGCCCCGCGTCCCGCGTGCCAAACGCATTCGACGAAAAGTGCGTCATGAAAGTGGCACGAAAACAACACACACAGCGCACTCTTCTTGGCCTGCTGCTGTAAGAGATGACGGCGGTGACAACGACGACGGCGTGCGTGCAAGCGAGAGTCGCAGTCACACCCCGACACCGCTGACACACGCGCCGCGAGCCCGGCCCCCGCCCTCTCTCCTTTACCCTTTCTCACTTCCTCCCCCTCCCCTCTCTTTCTCCTTTCTCTCCCGCTTGACCTCTCACTCCCTCTCTCTAGCACCGCATCATTCGCGGCTGCGATCCGCTGCTTCTGCTGCTGGAAGTGACTCACACAACTCTCCCCATCCCCACTCCCCCGACCACCCCTCTCTGTCCGCGCACAAAACTTTGTCAATAATTTTCTAATTAGCGAGAGAAATGTCGGCGGCCGCTTTGCTTTCAGCGTAACGAGCTTGCTCTCTCGCTCTGAAACCCCTTTCTCTACTACTGCTTCGGGGACGTCCCGAGCGCACTTCCAGACGTGTCCGCGTGTAAACGGATTTTGAGAAAGAAAAAAAAACAGTAGTTGTAAAAACAATGCTTACAGAAATGGTAGATTAAGAGCAGACAAACATAACCAAGCTAGTAATTATTAATAATGAGGACAACAACAAGAACGGCACAAAGGAGTAATGCGATAAATAAAGACGTAGTTTACCTGGTGCACCAGCCGAGAAGAGCTCATGAGCGCCCCAAGAGCCGGGCGGGACGGCCCAGCGCTGCGCTCACCTGGAGGGAGAGAGACAGAACCATTAGTGGTGCGCTCAGCAAGCGAGAGAGCGAGAGAGAGAGAGAGAGAGAGAGAGAGAGAGAGAGAGAGAGAGAGA